GTCTTTTTTTGCAGAGCTACAGTTGTAACTATTTCAATAAAAGACACACAAGTTTGTCATTGTGGTGCGGTGATCAGCTTTTGTTCCCTTGCTCTTACTTCCCTCTCTTCTGCGCTTGAGTGTTCACAAAACACCGAGCCGTGTTCCCCAGCCCAGATCTGTGAGTCTGGCCACACTGAGCAGGAGTCCTCTTCCAGCCAATCAGCTCAGGCACTACTCTTATTTGTGTCTTTTCAGGAAAGTGAAACAGCAGTAAATATTATGACAAAAGTCTGTCTGTACTTGGAAGAGAGATTGTTCTGTATTCTAAACATGCTAATGGATTGTAAACTGGCTCAGTGGCTGGGCTGGTCTTTGTTCAAACAAGGTGGACCTGGACCAAATGCAGAGTAAGAGCTCACAATTTGCATCACCTAAAAGAATTACGAGCAAGCTAGAAAGAGATTAGCTTATAGAAACACTGGGAGAGACAAGGCAAAACACATTTTCCTCTTCTCATCTTAGGCTGCCTAATATGGGTGCATTTCCCTAGACAGTTGCTCTAACCCAGCTCTCCATTAATAATTTTCCTTAATTTAGAACAAAACAAAATCCTCCAAAATTTATCAGAAAAAGACGGCACAAACTCCCAGGGTCCCTTTAGGAGCATGTGGCCATGCAGCAGAGGCAGGGGGCTACACAAGACAGAGACGTGGCCACCACAAGGGCACAAAGACCTTGCTTACCTGCTACCTCTACGCCCAGGCGTGGAAATCTGCGGCGTTCCTTTTTGCAGTATTCCTTTTCCATGAGCCCAGGTGATCATGCAATCCTGAGAGTCCAGCTTGCAGGAGATCAAGATGCTCCCTGCATTTTGGCACCCAATTCTACATCTACTAAGTTAGCAGAAGTGTTCCACTTTCTTCCAGGCTATCAAAATACACGTAGCAAATTAGTCATAGATTTCCTAGGGACAGCAGACGGGGACACCTGTGAGCTGTACCACCATCCAGCACACTCCAAGTACTAGTTGAGGAACAGGTAAGTGCCTCAAAATAGTGCCCCTCCTCTAAACCTCCCAAATCCTGGACCACGGTCCCCATGGGACTGTGCCATAAAGACAAAAAGGTCCCGGAGCTCCGGGCTTCTGCTAAACAATAATGCCAAACTGCTGCTTTTAATCCTGGGAAGCTCAAGACCACGAGTATGAATTGCCCAAAATACAAGTTCTGACTGAATTCTTGTGAGAGCAGCCTGCTTTCCTGTCAGTCCCTGGCAGGAGACACCCAGCAGAGGGTCACAGTGTCACCTGGGGCTGTGATTCAGCCCACACTCCCCCGGGGAGTTTGCGGATGTGGTGTCAGTGCTCCCATCAGGGAAGGTGTCACACCAGGAAAAGCCACGCAGCAGCTGACAAGTCAAGATAAGGATAAAGAGGGATGCTCTTTGCCTCCCTGCAAAGAGGGAAGATGTGACTGTTTTAGCTTTGTCTTCCTTGTAAATACATGTTTCGTTCATCTTCTGTCATGTGGTAGAGTCTCTGGACCAGCACTCCTGGAAAGTCCAAGGAAGACAATCACAAAACCTTCCAATAAGGACCCCTTTCCTCAACAGGAGAGTACCCCATCCTCACAGTCATTGCCTCTGACACTGATTTACACCTGCTGAGAATGTGATCAGTGATGCCTTTGGGTGCTGCTTGATGTCATTTTCCTGTCATATATTATATCCAACTGCTCCCAAAATTCCTCTCTCAAAACTCTCAAGTGGGATGTGCCCCCCTCGAGACACAGAGCTGTAGTTGGAAGTCACCAAGCAGTCTTGGAAAAGTTCCACAGCACCCAGCTCGCTCATAACAAGAAATACCAAATACACAGACAGTTGGCTTTCTGCCCCAGAAAGGCCACATTTTCCCTTAATGCACAGCCCTCGCGGCAGCATCAGGGGTGGGGAAGAGACATGACATTGTACTGAAGGTGGTGGCTTTACTGCTTTCATGTAATCAATTTGTATTATCTTTGCTTTATTAGAGTAAACCTGGGGCAAGTTGGAGGAGAAGAGGTTTGGGAGAAACAGGCACATCGTGGAGGAGTTTTCTGAGGTATAACAAAGCCAAGGGGTACCCCCTGCAGAAGGTTTGGCCCTGCTGACGTGAAATGCCAATCAAGAGCCTCTGAAGCCCCAGTACACCACCACATCCATGGTCCCAAAACAGGGCTGGGACCCTGCAAAAAATCCAGCCTGCTGCATTCATGTCCTACAGCAGAGTGGTTCTGGCCCACGCTAGAGAACTCCCCCAGGAGACAGCCCTCTGTTGGTTTCCCTGGATAAAATTCTGTGTTGATTTTTGCATGATGGACCAGAGAGGAAGCCAAAGCCTATAGTGGGGATTTACAGGGTATCACCCTTCATCCCTGCCTGAGAGCCCCACGCTGATGCTGGCCCACCCTGAGAGGGGCAGGGTTTGTTGTCAGCATTCCCACCGACTTAAAGGCCGGCATGGAGGTAGCACTGACACCATCAGAGATGGACGGCAGCTCTGAGCCTCCTGAGATGTAGCCGGTCACCACTCAGAGTGCCAGAGATGAGGAAGGAGGGATGGAGATGCGATGAAGCTGCATTCTCCTCCTCTCTCTCCTCTGTGCATGGCAGGAGCTGCTGCTGCTGCAGGAGCTCCACCTCGTGCCCCGGCCAAGGCCACGGCCACAGCCATGACTCGCAGGCACAGCCAGAAACTGTGCACAGGGCTGGTGTTTGATGCCAGTGACTGGAGATCCGTGAGCTGGGAGATTACATGCTCATTTTGCTGAACTTTTCCAAGTGGACCCTGGCTTGCAAACCCAACACAAACATAGGTCAGCGGGGGTAATGGGTGAAAACTCCAGAAGCAGAGTTACAAAGGTGGTCCCAAACAAAATCATTTAATGTGCTTGCAGAGATCCTGACCTGTGTAAGATTCTTTCCACTCACTTTGCCACCAGGATGCTTGAACTTGGAGTTTCCAGCTCTTATTTCAAATCTACAGAATCACTTGTATGGCTGAAAGCGTTTACCCTCCTCTCCCCCCAGCTACAGCATTTGGTCTAATGAAAGATATTACCTCTCTCTCTGTAGAAAATTTGGGGTTCACCCATCTCTAGTCAGGTACTATTGTCACAGGTTGAAACACCACAACTTTGTGAAATTCTACTTAATTTAATTTATTGCCAGTTAGCGTAAACTTTTCATTAACGATTCAGGTACTGGCAAGGGGGGGAAGATGACAAACAATTAAACAAACAGGGACACACTTTTCCTCACCCTTCCACAAGCTCAACTTCAGTCAAACCCAACTCCCCCCCACCCCACTTCATTGTCTCAACATGCCTTGTTTTCACCAGTCCCTACCAAACCCTTCAGTGAGGGAAGAGGTGGCACAGGAGTCAGGGAACATGCCTAACAGTTTCTTTCTGCCAGTCCTGCCTTCTTACTCATTTACTTCCAGTGCTCCTGGTTTCTTAATTGTTACCTCTGCTCAAGTGTTGATCCTCCAGGGCCCGCGAGTCCCCCAGGGTTGTCCCTGCCCTGGCGTGGGTCACCCATGGGCCGCAGTCCCTCAGGGTTGTCTCTGCTCCAGCGTGGGTCATCTATGGGCTGCAGTCCCTTCAGAGGTATGTCCCCTCTGGGACAGAACACCTCCTTCCATGACCATTTATCGAGCTGGGTCACCAACACTGTCCCCTTCCACCTGCCTCCTCCACTCCCTCCTCCCATGTCAGCTCCTGCGTCTCCTTGTGTGTGCGTCTTCCTTGTGTCTCCCACCCCTAATGGCTATCACTCCTTCTTAAATATATTTGGTCACAAGTGCCACATGCTCCTCTGATTGGACTTTTGGTGTGCAAAGGGGTTTTTACGCTGGTTTCAGAGCCAACTGGAAGGAGCCGTGACAGGCAGAGAGCAGTTCCTGACCTCCCACACAGGGCAGTCCCTCCCACCGATCGAAATGCTGCAATTTATGCTAAATAAAAGTGTGAACGCTCTAATATATGATAAGCATTTTTAAAATGTATACATCTTTTATGGGGTTGATACCTTGCCTAAAAACAGTAACTTGTCGGTTTAAATTTGTTGCTAAACATAACCCAGGTTTTAACTAAATCCATAGGAAATGTTTCTGTGCAGAATTCTGTTTGGAAAACTCGGTTACAGATCATGGGTTCTCTATGACATTTAGATGGCAACTATGACGTATTCACTCAGACATGAGGGGAAAATCCGGTCAAGTAAACTGGGGCAACAGGGTATTATGCCTAAATTTCCATCAAACTCACTCTATTCCAACCAGGCTCATGTTACCAGCAAAGTGCATCTCATAGGTCTAAAAGCCTGATTATTAGAATTTTATTTGATGTATGTGGCAATGACAGCAACAGGAAAATTCCACATTTGGAGAAAGTAGCAGAACATGGCATATAACAATTCAGTGACATGTAACGTCTCAAATTCATAGAAAGTGGTTCCCTTTTATAGGAAATGTCAGCATTCAAATGGTTATCAGCATGTTCTCACTAACCAAACTCTGTTAGCCTATGTCACCAAGCCAATCAGCACAACGCCTTGTGTTTGGAACAGCACTCTTCTTAAGCTCCCCAAATTGGGAAAAGTCTGCTCTACAGTTAAAGAGCCAAGCCTTGCAAAATTCCCAGCAGTTACTTAGAATAGCAGAATTCCTTGAATTTCAAAGGAGGGTGAGTCACATTCAGCACAGATGTTTACTGTCACCCGCCCAGGGAAATGTAAGGCCATACGCTTTAGTCCAGTTGTGTTCAGCAGAGCACTTAAGCACTGAACTTAAAACATGTACCGAAGACCCTAGCATTAAGCTTTGTTTAAATAAGAGATTTGCCAAACAGGCATTTATACCGAATCAGACCTCTACGGTCTACTGCAAGCCAGCCACAAAAAGCAATAGCATTAACCTAAAGCAAAGTACCCCACCACACCTAAAACGAGGATGTGAGCTGTGCAGGAGTCGTTTCCAGTTACTGTTTGCTTTGCTTTCCAACCTCCAGCTGCCTCCTGATGTCTGATACATCCATGGGGACCCGCACCGTCAGACCGTCCATCGACTTCTTAACACACACCTGGCAGCCAAGGCGAGATCTGAGAAGAGAACGTGAAGTGAGGCTCATCTGTTCCCACGGTTAAAGGAAGAAATTCCCCGCCCACATTGGGATGTCTGGTCCAGGCTGGGCTTTCACTAAAGTTCCTGTTAAAGGTCTCCTGTGCCCCAGGAGAAAGCAGGTCTAGAGGCACAGAATAAGTCCTGTCCCCTTGGAAAGAGGTGCCAGGTGCTGAGAATCTGCCCCAGAGGTTTGAGAATCTACTGCCATCAGCAGGGAGGCTTACGTCTCGGTGAGTCCATACGCCAAGTCCAGCATGTCCAGCTCTTCGTCTGAGATGGCACCCAGCTTTTGGAAGGTGTCCTTCTCAAAGATGAGGTGACAGGTGGAGCATGCTAATGTCCCTTCACAGGCACCTGGTGGAGAAAGGAGGGAGTGACAGCAAATTAGAAAAAGCAAGGGGGTGAGAGAGATCATCTTCGGGAACAGTGTGAGAAAAGGTCCTTTAACAGATCTGGAGCACGTCAAAAGAGATGACACAAAACACAACAGATGGATGCAGATTTCAGTCTGCCTTTTCTCTGGAAGGAACACAATCAGTTTTCAAATTTAGACGTCAACTTTAACCAGCCAAACACATTGACACAGGCTGCTGGAATCCTAGCGGTGATGGTGTGGAAGTGACACTGCCATCTCAGTGCGGTAAGCCAGCCCAGAAAGCAGCTGTGGGGGAAGAGAAGCTTGCTTCATGGTCTCGCTGGAACACAGCAGCATGTGTACAGTCAACACTATTCCCAGGTACCCACTGGTCACAGCAGAGACGCACAACCTCTAAGAGCACATACCCTTGTGCAACACCTACCAAATCCATCAATGGCCAAATTTTGATTGACTACCACTTCCAGCAAACTCTCCCCTTCTTTGGCTGTGGCCGTAAGTCGCTCTCCATCCCGATTTATAAAATGCACCGTCACTTGGCCTGCAGAGCTGTAAGACAAGTTTGCAAAAAAAAAAAAAAAAAAAAAATAAAAATCAGAGGAGGCCACTGTTGAGGTCTTTTGGCTGAGCACTAGAGACACAGCACTTGGAGGGAAACATGCATACAATCACTTTCGGGAAGGATTACACCATGCATATCAGAAAAGATTCAGATTATCAGTTTTCAGTGGCAGGCAAATCTGAGTTGACCGAAAATATTTCCCACTTTATCAAATGTCCCCCAGAATAAATGTTTAGCTGCGCACAAACAAGTGCAGATGCTCTGTGCCTGCTGCCTCTGCTGGGGCTGGCTGGCAGAGGGAGTGTTTTCTGGCAGGCAAAGTATTTGCAAGCCTGCAATATTAATCCTGGATGGAGTGATGTAATAACAAAAAAAAAAAATGCTCAGGACCAAATACTAATCATGCAATAAGGGCTGTTGTCATTCACATTTTGTTTCCCACTCCCTTCCCAAAGGGATTACTTGATGACTGTTCCCTTTCTGCTGCTTGTTCTTTCATGAAGTGCCCACTCCTTCCCAGAACTCAATCACAGGGAGCCTTGTTATGATGAGACATGCTCAGCCCCAGCTTACAGAGCAACTGTGCTGAGTAACCTCCTCTGAGCTGATGTGATCCTTGTGCAGGAGAAATTGCTGGTTATTTCGACAGCCTGCAAGATTTAATCTGGTGGAGAGTTAAGAACAAGACCTTCAGCATCTCTTAGTGCTGGCTTGTGGAAATCACATCTACAAATAAGAGGGAAACAGCACCCACTTCATCTCCTCCAGAACAGGCTCTCCCCACCAGTATGGCAAAGGCTGCCACCCTCAACAGCAGCATCGGGGATTTCTCACCGAGACAGTATATTCTGAGACCATGGTTGCCAGGGGAAGCACGCAAGAAAACAGTATTTTTTCTTAGTGTACATACCCAAAAGGTCACTTGGGAGCAGGAGGCCCCAGTTACCCAAAGGTCCCACCTCCTGTGCTGAAACAGGGCAGCACCCTGGTGGCAATGGGTATTTTGCCCAGTACCTCTCAACGTGGCACTGCCCAAGTGCCCACCATCTGAAAACCCAGGACATTCTCCAGGGGCAGAAGCCGGGTCCAACCTCTATCCTTCCGACAAGCCGACAACACGTGCCACTCTCCCAGATCTCTGGGAAGTTCCATCTCTGTCTCCCAAAGCTCTGAAACTCCCAAGCATAAGCAGTGTCAGTGCTGCCCCATGGCCTTGCTGCTCTCATTTCTGGCACAGGAAGAAAGAACCACAGCCTTGACGATAGAGTGAATTTCGCAGTGAGAACTGGCCAAGCTCACAATCTCCTGATTTTTTCCACTTACACAAGGCTGAGCGAAGCATCACCCAGCTTCTTCCAAATAAAGTGCTGTTTGGTATAAAGCTTGGGAACGCTTCTTCTGGAAGCCCTGGGGCCAGTGAAACAGACAGCAAGTATGGCTCAGAGCTCTGAGAATTTCTAGTCCTGATTTCTTGTGATGTATTTACAGCATACACTGAATACAAACTGTCACAGCCACAGTCATACGTCACAGCAAACCCACCAGCTGAGGAAGCGCTGAAGCACCTACACTCCTCTGTGTGAGGCATCCTCTTGGAAAGTCACAGAGATTGGGAAGAGGAATTGGTTAGATGGGAATCGTCCCTGGGATAGCAAAGCCAGCAGCTGAAAGGACTTACCCTGCCTGCTCATCCCTCTCCTCTCTGTGGCAGATGAAAATGGAGCATGTGGAGATCTCTGTTGATTTGCTTCTAACATTAAGCACAAAAATGTATAAGGATCAAGTTTAAACAATTTCTTTTGCTCTTTCTTAACTCGGAAGAGGCAGAGGTGGAGTACAGGGGATGTACCCTGCTGAATAGGAGACAGGAAAGAATTCCTGTAAAAAAGTAATGAAAAAGGGGAAAGAAAGGTTCTCCTCTCTCAAGTTTGCAGGTCTTGTTCATTCTGCTTCACATAATTCACCATCACCATCTAGATGTAATGCCATTTACCTGCTGACAAATCATTACAGTACACCTCTAAGTGATTAAGGATGCTGTTTCTTAAAATGTTGCCACATAGCCTTCATCAGCAAGACATCAGGCGCAGAAAATTCCAAAAAGTTCTCTCTTTGGAAAGCCAATCCCCACATTCCATCAAAATTCAGAAACAGAGAAGAGAGATGAAACAATATTTTTTTTCCTTCTCTGCTCTTTTGTTCTCAGCTGTGTCTTGATTCAGCCAGCAGGACCAGCACGCAGGGGCCGCTGTACCTTCATCTGAGGCGGGCGGCTTCCTGTTTTTCAGAAAGCTTCGGCAGAAAACAATGCCCGGGCCGTTAGTCTACAGCAGGGTCCCCTGGTTATGAAAACAGCTGTGAAGTTAGCGCCGAGACCGTGCTGCAGAGGGAAGAGTTTCCCACGTGCAGAATGGGAAGATCACGTTGCAGTCAACGCTCAGCCAAGCAGGACCACCCTAATTCGCTCAGCAAACAGCCAAAGAACATCTTTAAGACATTTCAGTCTCCTTCATAGGGACGCTCACAGACGTTTCTTTGTAAATAAGCAATTTAAAGACTAATTCTCAAATGTCAAAAGAAAACAAATCAAAACAGCCCTCTATATTTCGCTGGATTAGACCCATTTATTCCATTTTTATGGCAAACAGGCAGGTTTTCTCGCAGTGTTGGTTTTACAGCTATGGGCGAAATAATGCGTTATACTATAGAAATGGTAAAATCATAGAACTTCACTTAAAGCTGCAACTCAATACATTCTTCAACAGGATAACGCGAGCTGGCTGCCTGCAAGCAAAGCGCGCTGGATCCAACAATCGCCAAAGCTGCACACGTTTATTGACAGAAAACGCCATTTGTGTTGTCTTTGATGCACCTAGAGCTTCAGTTGACATCAGTCCCAGGAGAATCCCTGCAGCAAGCTCCTGCGAATGCAAGGGGGATTTGCTCCCTGCAGCTCCAGCTGGACACAGCCCTGCTTTGACTGGTGCTGCCAGTTAAATGAGCCCCGAGACGGCTGAGTTGGATATAAGGAAGCACAGATGCTATTGCCACGGACCCCTGAGTGACTCTGGACAAGCCTGGGTGCAGCAGTTCACCCTTCTCAAGAGCAGGGTGATGCCCAGCACTCCTACACCATGACACAGAAAGCACCTGTGAGCAGCTTTGCTCTCTTCATTGGCTGTAGGAGAAATTTAAGCTGTTTGAAGGGGCTTTCAAGAAGGTGGTTCTTCTCCCTGTCAGTGTTTTTCCCTAAAAGATACTTTCCAAGGCCATACAAAACAGCAAGATCTCTACAAGCACTGCCAAAGATAACTTCAAAAGCAACAAAGCAATTAGAAAGAAAACCCATTGATAACAAGTCTTCATAAAGCATTAAGCAGGGTTATCAGAATAACTTTTCTCTAAGGTCAGATAGCAAAATGGTTTATTGTATTTTCTGTGATCTTGGTTGGGTCTTTTTCTCAATGTCTAGCAGATTACAGTCTGACCCAGGTCCTCCTGGTCTAGGACATCTGCAAATTCCCTTTATTTTGCTCAGAGAAATACAATCTCCTTCGGAATTATCCCTAAGGAACAGAGAGAGGAAAGACTGGCAGGGCATCTGCTGTAGTTCCTGCTGTAGAAATACAGACGAGTACTCGGTGCCAGGCAGCCTCTCTTGTCAGCCCCATCCTTTCGCCACATGGGGACAGCCTGCTCCTGCGTCTTTAAGATTTCTTCCTTGAAGAACCTCCAGCCTCCCTGGACTCCTTTGCCCTTCAGGACTGCCCCCCAAGGGACTCAGTCAACCAGGCTCCTAAACAAGCCAAAGTCTGCCCTTTCAGATCGTTAGCGGGGAGTCCTCCACCCTGGCAGGGACCAAATGCGTTTTAGAGGCATTTCTGAAGACAAGCTTCTGACCAATCTCCACCACAGAGTTCAACTCACAAACAGCCACCACAATGACCTGCGCACCCTGTCCTGAGGCAGCAGCCTCAGCAAAGCCCAGCGCACGTCACTGTGCTCAGGAGCCTGGCAGGACACCGGTGCTGGGAGCTTGTACAACCCCTCAAACGTACAGCCACCATCCAGGCGGCTGAGTGATGGAGCCAGCTCCTCCGTCTCCCTGTCAAGAAGAGCATGCCAGCAAGGCACGAGAGCTTGCCGCATGGCTTCCCATAACGTAAAGACAGCATTTTGCTCCCTGGAGCTGCAGACGTCATCAGCTCCCTTATCTGCCTTTAGAGCAGCAGGGACAAGAAACCCGAGAGAATTTGCAATTCCCAGAGCAACCCAGTGGTCATCTCACCTTCCCCACAGCAGGAACACAGCAGGCTCGTGGCTCAGCTGTCCAACACACCTTGCCCACCATCCCCATTCCTCCTCAAAGGCTGCTGGCTGGGCCCCAGTGGTCAATGGACTTTTGGGCCACATCGTTATCTTCACGCTTTGATTCAGGCCTCCACAGCTCCAGAAGGAGAGAGCAGGACCTCTCACAGACTGCACCACCTTCCTCCCATCAGCATCTGCTCAGCCTACGCTTCCTCGTCCACCACCGCCTGTTTTGTACTGGCCTCTCTTTTCTCCCTTCGGTGGAGCAAGGCAGCGTTAAGTGTGTGCCCCTCCTGAAAATACCCTTCTGGATGCAGCAAGGTGGTGTTCAGCAGTTTACTCTCCTCGGCTCCCCAGAGCTGTCCTGGAGCTTGTGCGTGGAACTGAAACCTCTTTCTGACCCCTGCTTAGATGGCATGCGATGCTGCTCAGTCACCCCACAGAGATAAATAAAGCGAACTTTGCTCACATTCAGTCCACTTAGTAAGGGTCGCATGAGCCCCGAGATGCCTTGGGGTATCATGCTACTGAGGGTCCTGCTCCGTGTGCGTCTCCTGCGCTGTTTGTTGCAAAATGGGCTAAATGAAGAGTTTTAAATGGGTGGAGGGAGGGAGGGAGGAGGGAGGGGAAAGAGGAAGGAAGGATGGACAAAGGGATTGTGCTTGGAACTTGCTGCAGTCCAGCCCACCAGGGGATGGGAATTGGGTGAAGCATGGTAACATGAACATCATCTCCACCTACCAGTCCCCAAGCAATGC